GCCTCCATCAGGATCTACAATGAGGAAAACAATGTCAGGCACAGGTGTGACTAAACGTTATAGTGACTATCCAACACCTAAGAGTAGTGCTGATGTTATGAGGAGAAGTACTGGCAATGTTTCAAAATGGGCTTCTACTGGTATGTCTCTATCATTGTATTATAAAATTATTCTTTTTTAGCTGGAATTAATTTACACTGAAGAAACACATTTTGGGTGTTTTGTATGAAGTTTATTTTCACTGATTTTATAAAATTTGAATGTAAATATAGAAAAAAAAGTATATTTGCTGGATTTTATTTACCACTGAATCATCCCTTCAGTGAAAATAAAATCAAAGTGAAAATAAAGTATTTTACATATTGATATTATAAACCTATAAGAGTAGTTATGCGTATTGTCATTGATGTCTCTAGTGAGTCTGTAAAGCTATGTCACTATTTTCCAGATTACAATGGAGTTAAAAAAGGAACTAAAAATTATGATAAACCATGGATGACTAATATAAAGAAAGAGCGACCACAAACTTTAACTAAAGGAACAATGTCTGAAGAACAGAACACTAGACCAGGTGAGAATGTATATCTCTTGCATCCATGCAGTAACCCTGGCAACATAATATCTTATGTCCAAACACCCAATGGTAATTTTTTCTGTTAGCCTGTATGTCTTTGTGTATGTACATGTATGTGTGTAATGTTGTTGCTCTATTAGTGCTGGGTGTGCTTATGTAAAATGACATATGTGTACTATGACAAATCTGAAATGTCAACCACTTTTTAGAATTAGTTTTAAAAAACGGTTGAATTAGTAAAAATTAGTAATTAAAAACCATAAGATATCAAATATGGCATGGCAACGATGGTTTGTTGTCAGAAAGCAACATTTTCATCAAAACACAATCATGTCTGATGTTTGATAGACATAATAATCAGATTAGCACTGTTGAAAAGACTTATTGCTCGAATAGGTAAATACATTTAATTATCATGAAGGCGATATTTTGTGTATAACCTTATTATTATGTCTTTTGTGAACCAAAACGATAAATCAGAAAAACAGCGAAATCTTAATTTTCATTCATAATACTTTGATTATAATACATGAAACAGTACTGTAGTATAATTGCCATATTTTGAATGCCATTCTTGTTTCTGATGCCATAAACTGTTTTTTGCATGTAGCTCGTAAAACAAAGAAGCAAGACTGGGATCCTAAATCTAAGGTCACAAGTCCTACATTTGATGAAATGTTTCAAAGCAAGACAACTAGCAAACCAAGTCAGAAGTCAACATGGGCAGCTCAGGTTAGTTTCATACTCAATGTGCTAACAAACTTACTACTATGGTAACTGTTTAATTACTACATTCTGATGTATATTCTGAAATAACTGAAATTTAGTGTGTGACCATATTCAATTGATTATATTGTTTGTTTGTTTATGCTATTAAGGATGATGAAGAGCTTCTGTATAAGAGTGCAGGATATAGAGGAATACAACGAAGATCAGAATATGAAGAGGATCCTCTTGCTGGTGAATTAGTTATCGCCAAGTCACGTCCACGACAATCAGAAGATGAAGGTTACAGTACACCAACAAATTTGTAAGTTATGTTTTATGGAAACACCTCAGTAGATACTCCCATATTAAGGTTGTTGGTTAATATTTAAATAAATTATCAGATTTTTTACTTCTATGTGCGAAGCACATAATGGGAGTCTTTGCAGTTAGTGTGTCTGTATGTGTGTGTGTGTGTATGTGTGTATGTGTGTCCGACTGTTCCACTACTATCTCAAGAACCATACATCGGTTTTTGATGAAACTTGGTGCATAGATGCTCTGGGCCAATGCGCAGATTTTATTAGGTTTTGGTAAAAATCCATGCTCGTTAATTACCTAATTTGCATGATAATTAGCTAATTTTTAGCTGTTCTATGACTGTTCCACTGATATCTAAAGAATCACTCATTGGATTTTGATGAAACTTGATACATAAATGATCTGAACATATGCGCAGATTTGATTAGTTTTTGGTAAAAATATGTGCATATTAATTACCTAATTTGCATTATAATTAGCTATTTTTTAGTGGTTCCATGACTGTTCCACTGATATCTAAAGAATCACTCATTGGATTTTGATGAAACTTGATACATAGATGCTCTGAACTAATGCTAGGTTTTGATTAGTTTTTGGTAATAATCCGTGGATACTAATTACCTAATTTGCATAATGATTAGTCAATTTTTGGTTTTTCACTGATATCTCAAGTACTAATCATCACATTTCAATGAAACTTGGTACATAGATGTCATATGACACTGCACAGACCTGATAGTTTTTATGGTAATATCAGTACATATAATTACCTAATTTGCATAATTAATAAATTTTCAGCTTTTGATATAAGTAGTGAGCATTACATTTCAATGAAACTTGGTACTTACATACTCAAGGACTATGCAGAGATTAATTGTTTCGGATGAATATTTGTGCATATTAATCACCTAATTTGCTTAATTAGTTAATTTTACTAATCAACGCATTTCAATGAAACTTGGTACATAGATCCTTTAGGACTATGCAGAGACCCAATTAGTTTTCGGTAAATATTTGTGCATATTAATCACCTAATTTCCATAATTAACCAATTTCCAACTTTCACACTAATATCTCAGGTACTAATCATCACATATCAATGAATGTTTGTACATGGATGCTGTAGGACAATAGACAGACCTGGATAATTGTGGGTTAAAATCTGTACATATTAATTACCTAATTTGCATAATTAACCAATTTTAAGCTTTCACACTAATATCTGAAGTACTAATTATTCCATTTCAATGAAACCCTAGTACAAAGGTGCTCTAGGACAATGTACAAACCTAATTAGTTGGGGGTAAAAATCTGTTCATATTAATTCCCTAATTAGCGTAATATTTCATAATTTTTTGGCTCTAAATCACATTTCAATTAAGGTAGCGAGACTATTATTTGTGTTGAAAATTACGATTTTCACATTTATTTATTAATTGATGAAATGTACCATAAACTTTCATGTGATAAAGTCAACATAACATAGAATGTCATGTAAGTTGGTTAAAATGTAGATTTTCTGAAGGGAAGCAAGGCAGCCTCAGTAGTGTTTTCCAAAATCAACAACACAGGTTTAATCTGTGTGCCTATAAGTTCAAAGA